GATGAATTTTCCTGAGGAATTCACAACCGGAGCCTTCGGTTATCCAAAGCCTGACCCGCAAGGCAGCTGGGCGGTATGTGAAAACCTCAGTCCATTGGGAACCGGTGTCCAGTTCATCAGATTTTTCGCCCTTCGGACGGGGTCAAACGTCCAAGGTGACCACTGCCACAACCGGGAAGGTGTGGGTGTGGTTCGTACGCCTCCTCTTGGTTGGTTCGGAATCAGCGTTTTTGGCCAACTCCTCTAGGTGAACTACCAGCGGTCCACCAACCCGGTTATAGCCCCGGATGTCGGTTTCTCGTCCTCTCACTTTGGTGGGAAAACACCTCCACCACGAGAAGGCAGCGAGTAGGGCTTCCTCAGCAGAAGCTATTTGAGACGCTTGATCGTATGGGAGCATTTCGCGAGGTGTAAGGGCAGTGCGACCAGCCGTAACCCTAGACACCCATCCCCTGACCATACTGAGGCTTTCGGAGGCATGACCGAACCAATTAAGATTTTGCCCTTGGTATAATCTTTTGTTGTGTGATATGTTGGTGCCTTCTATTTCGCCTGTTCGCCGAGCTTGGCAATTCGCAAACGCCGCATCACCGGCCAAGGTGACATCATCAGTGCTTGTGGTGATGTCACCTCGGCTGGTGATGAGACGTTTGCAAACAAATTGCCAAGCTCGACAAATAGGCGAAATAGAATTCAGTTCACCCGAGCTGCGAGAACCGATTTTTAATACTTTGTCAATATGTTGCTGCCTGTCCGTTTCTAGGCTCTTGGCTGTCTTTAGATAAGTGAGCTATATCTACCCTGTGAACTGAATTTATGGTTACAGAACACTAGGTGAATCAGCATAATCTTGTCGGCCTTCATTTATTATCCCGTAATCATATTTTGGGGTTTTTGGACCTGCAATAATTTTTTTCTGTTTGCAGACTAATGTCGGTTAACTATGCCTCTGGATTATCAGATTATGCAAACAAAGGTGTTTGTGGCCTACCAGAGTATACAGATAGTCCTAACGTTTTGGACCAGAAGTTAAATGAGCTCTACCAACTTATGCGTCGGTCCAAGTTCACGGTGTTCCACACCGGGGCTGGGATTAGTACTTCTTCTGGAATTCCGGATTTTCGTGGTCCAAATGGTAAGGTTATTACTAGTCAGTTAGGCAGAATCTAGGTGTGTGGACCATGGAAAAGTTGGGGAAGCAGCCTTGCCAGTCTATAGCGTTCGAACATGCTTTTCCTTCTGTTGCACACTGTGCATTAGTTGACCTGGAACGCCACGGTAAGGTTATGCACCTTTTGGCCAAATAAAAATCAACCTGATTTCAGGTCTGTTACAATACCTGGTTACTCAAAATATTGATGGCTTACACCTCCGATCCGGATTTCCTCGGGACCGACTTTCAATCTTACACGGAGATATGTTTTTGGAGCGATGTCTTGTTTGCGGGACGCTTTATGCCAGATCAACTCCTTCTGTAACCATGGGACTCAAATGCACTGGAACGCAGTGCAGTTCCGTGAAGAGTTCGTCTCGCCATTGTCGGTACGCGTTCGCCTTCTAATCTACTCGTTGTTCTAAGGGGAAAACTGTATGACACTATTTTGGACTGGGAGAACGACCTCCCAGAACCCGACTACAACTTGGCCATCGAAAAATCCAAGTACGCATTATCAAACTTATGTTTAACTATTTCTGGCCATAAACGGTGTTTACATATTGCGAGCTAATTTTCCCTCTAGATGTGCCGAGCTTCATGTATGCATCGGAACTTCGCTTCAAATGTATCCCGCGGCATCACTTCCTCTGTTGCCGTCTAAACGAAAAACTACTCCACGTGGTCTTCCCAAAATGGATCAGGAAGATCGAAATCATACATCGAAAATGGTCATTATCAATTTACAGAAAACGAAGTTGGCCAAACGTGCTTGGCTCAATATACACGCTAAGGCTGACGTGGTTCTCAGTATGCTCCTATCGCGACTTATGATGCGTACCCATACAGAGGTTAAAGCTGATCCTCAATCATTTTCCCCTGTCATAGTCTTACGGTAAGTAACCTTTCGTTAATCTTGATTCTTAGCTGAAGTTACATGTACGGACAATTGTGCGTTGTTTTTGTTAAATATGCTCATCAAGTGTCTGAAGAATGATCGGGAGAAGTGTTGGATTAGAAGAGAAGATGAGAAGAGAAATGGAAAAGACTGCGGCTACCGGTAATAGTCGCCACTTTTTTCGTTTAATAAGGAGTACAGGACCAAGGGAAACAGGCTTAAGTGAGGTAATTAAGGAGTCTGACGGTACACTGCTTTATATTTAGCAACGCCGTCTAGATCAATGAGCAGAACATTTTAAGGCTCAGTTCAGCTGGTCCCCGTCGACACAAGACCTGCCAGCTTCAACTATGCTAATACTGCCAGTTGACATCAGCCCTCCATCAGAAACGGACGTTTCCCGAGAAATAAGTTATCTCAGAAGGTATAAGGTCTCCGGCCCAGATAGGCTATCCCCATCGGCTTTTAAGGATAAAGGTTTAGCCTTGATTTTAGAGTTAACAAAACTCCTGGGTTCAGTGTGGGAAGAGGAACAGGAACAGGAACTGAATGGTGTGCATCGTTGATCATACCGATTTACAAGAAAGGTGACAGATCCTCCTGTGAAAACCACAGAGGAATTACTCAATATTGCCCCTAAACTTCTCGCCGGTATCATACTCCGTCGATTGTCTGCCGCACGTGATATCTAAACTTCTCGCTGGTATCATACTCCGTCGATTGCCGCACGTGAACGGTGTACGCGTGAGAACCAAACTGGTTTCAGACCTGGTGGAGGTTGTATCGACCACACCTTCACTCTTCGTCAAATTCTAGAACACAGACACCTCGTAGACCCACAACTTGTCTTCCTCGATTTAAAAGCGGTTTTCGACTCAGTCGACTGCTCTAAACTCTGGCGCTACCTTTCCCTGAAGGGTGTTTATTTCAATATTACAATCCCTGTACAATAATAGCCGAAGCCGAGTTCGAGCTTACGGCACTTTTTCACCCGAGTTAACCACGGAAAGTGGTGTTCGACAGGGTTGCCCTGTCTCTCCCTTTCAATTTAGCTTTGTCATAGATTTAATTCTTGAAACAGCCCTATCCTCGTGCAGGGATAGCGGCATCGATTTACTTCCGGGTGGCAGACTGTCTGCTCTAGAGTATGCGGACGACATTGTGCGCTACGCATGTCACTAGATATGTTGTCACGGCGAGCGATGCTTGGCGAGGCAGGTAGCGGTTGGAAAAAAATGAAGGGCGGTCAAGCTAAGACCTGGCATGAGGGTATGAAAACCCTGACCAGGAGAGTGGCTCACATAGGTCCCGTTAGGCCCCCGAACTGGGGACTCAGAGATAATGGTCACCGGTGGTTAGAAACACTGAGCGATATGGCCGAGTGTCGCAAACAATGGCGCTCATGCATCTACTCATTATTCTTGTAATTTCAGTCTATGAAAATGTGCTACTTTCCGCTTAAATCTTTTTTCAACATTATGATCACCATTCTGCTATTTTATCCAAATGGGTAACCAAAACCGGCGCACGAAATGGTAATGGTTGTAAGAACTGAGAACTGAACATAATCCAAGGCTATACTGAACATGGGATGGTAAAATAAACATTCAAGCTAGAACCAGTTTGTTGATTTTGCGTTCAAATATAACGTTACAAGGTTGAGGGAAAATCGAAAGAGGGAGAGTTTTTCACAGTTGTGCTGTTGTCGAGAAAAAAGATGGCTGAAAGTTAGAAGTGCAATACTTGGAGTTGGTCACTTAAAATGGGTGACTAGCTGCGTGTGTATGGAATCTGCGAAATAGAACAAGTGGAACAGAGTCAGAAGAGGTAAGTTCAGTAGAGCATTCTACAAAATAGTATCGGTAGAATAAGGATTATGTATTGTATTGTATCGTGTATAACTTTTGCAAGTACTGAATCTTAAATTTCAATTAAAAAACATACCAGCTAACCGTCAGAAACTACATGTTCAACGGAGAAAAGCTGTTTACAGACATGGAGACATTTCATAATCGGATTAGCAACGCCTCACTTATCGTCAACAGTTTTGCATTACAATTACGTAACAACGGTTTAAAAGAGGAAGCGGGATCAATTATGTGCTTGGTTGTCATGACGTGTTTTGCAATTGATGACCCCGGGTTACGTGTGACCGCCTGATTACTGGGCGTGGGTTGCGTCATCGACTTGACCAACCACTTTGGAATGTGTTCGGCCATCCGCTGTGATAATTGACGGTTGGTTCTGCCTATGTATGCGTCACCGCAACTGCAGGTGAACTGGTATACTGTATGTGAGACAGAACTGGATTGCCAACCATGTACACGTTTGTCCAAATCGATTCCATGAGTAGAGGCAATAAGTCGGAGTTGAGCAGCTGGGAATGTGCGGTTGAGAGCTGACTTCAACTTTTGGCGCATATCGTTCAAAAGGTGATCGCCTTTAAAAGATAGTTTGATGTAAACGGCTTTCTGGGGAACAGTTGGCGATGGGTTACTTTTTTGCTAATCCGCTTACATAATCCCGTTCTGTGCGCCCAAAAGTTGTTGACATTTCATAACCCAAGGTTAAGTCAAAGTTCACTTATTACCCTCTTTGTTTTTGAATAAAAGTGCAAGATCGTGGTAAGGTCACCAAATTATCACCCCGGAGGACGAGTGTTCGAATCCCACCACCACCTGACTTCCCCCATTGCGTTGAATGGCAGCACTTTGATCGACCGCTTCCCCCTTCCTGAAAATTGTATCTTTGTATATTAAATAAAAGGAAGTAAAAATCAAAAGAGAAAAAGATAGGGTATAGGTGAATTTCGGTAAGCTTTAATTCGGGATGAAACTTGGCGGAATTGAGAGCCTGTGGAGGGATGGGAATGACGTGTCTGTTCTGCGTGCAATGGATGATCGAGATCTGTGAGAATCCTCTCCGAAAATTTCAATCAGGAAGTTATATGATACCGTGAAAGCTTTATAGCTAACTCATTCGCATGAATAAACGGATAAAAAGCAACTGCTTGAAGGTGAGCTAGTGGCTGCAAGTTACGCATTAGAAACGGGTCGTCGGTGAAACAAGCGGCCTTACTTCGAACCCGAGAAAGACTGCAGTATTCATGTGTAGAGCGAATCTGAGCTTTGTAATACGAGAGGTGATTGGCGGTAAAGAAATGCCTCACGTGGAAGAGGAAGCTGGTTTTGCGCACAACGCGAAGCAAGCAGGTAAATATACGATNAAGAATAGTCCCAATAGGTTGCATGGATCTCTAGAACGGAGAATGTTCGATTTTAAACATTGGGGCTTAACTTAACATTGGGGCAACGACTCATGTTCAAGAGAGATGGACATAAGAGCAGTTTTAATGGCATTAAAGAGAACACGATTGCGACTTCCCGTTACAGGAATTAGACTAGAATTTAAGTAGAAACCGAAGAGTGAGTGGTCATATTTAATGCTGGAGTTAGTGATGGGTGAGGAGGAATAGGACAAACAGTTCAGAGTAAAGTCACCGGCAAAGACATGAACACGATTTGAAGTCACAGAAAGGTCATCCGTGAATATCAGAAAAAATGAAAGAGAAGTACACAACCTTGGGGGGCACAAGCATTCACAAGCACGGAGCGAGACATGGTTCCATCTACTCGAACTATATGATGCGGTCCTTGAGATAGCTTGCTGTCCAGGAGAAAATTTTCGAGGGAAAGCCAAATTTGGGTAGTTTAGACAGCAGACCTGCCTGCCAAACACGATCGAAAGCTTTCAATGTATCCAGTCACATTGTATGCGTGGTTGTCAAGTGCCATTGATCATGTATGCGAAATGCGACTCAGAAGATCACAGGTAGATTGATGGGACCGGAGACCGTACTGACGGTCGCTGAGCGTCTTGTTCTATTCCAGGTGGCGATGGAGTTGGCAGTAGTGACTGATTTCATAACCTTCGAAATAACTGATGTAAAGGAGATTTGGCAGTAGTTGCTTGAGTCAGAGTGGTCGCCACGTTTGGGGATGGGAAATACTTCTGATGTTTTCCATGGGGTTGGGGATATCCTGGAATCAAGGGAGACCAATTCTGGAGCGCACCTTTTGAGGACAATGGGAGAAATCCAGTCGAGTCCAGGTGGCTACTGTGGGTCCAGTGATGAGAAGATCTGACGTATTTTTCTTACGGAAACGAGCGGTGTAGAAAAATGGTTCACTGTAGGTTATGTGGAGGTTTATATGGATGATTCAAGTGGGGTAGAATTGAAAGCAAAATGTGAGGAAAATATTTCGGTCTTGTCAACCGGTTTGGACACTGAGTTATAAGTGGAACGAATGACTTAAATAAAACTGAAATAAGACGGTGATCCAATGTGCCTAGGGGGAGAACTGTGGCAATATTATAAAAATAACTGTGTTTAAGATGTGGACAAGAACCAGAGTACAAGCGTTACCGCTAATATGGTCGGGGATACGGGTTGGGGAATTAACCAGTTAGTGTAGGTTGTTCAATAAGGAAAATAATTCTGCTTCTCGTCCAAAGGGCGATGTCCCTGCAGTGTAACAGTCATTCCATGTTATGAACGTTAAAATCACCCAAAATTGTGAACTGAGCTTTGGAGTCTGTTCCTAAAATATCAGAGTGATGAATCACTCCTATTTGAGGAATAGTGCAAAAGCAATCAAATGATGGATAAATCCACAAACACCCGCTTTGAAAGATGAGGTCTGTAGAACGTTGTGTTTTGGATGAAAATATACCAAGAGGAGAAGTGAACTGAAGAAATTGATTTACAGAATCAGTATTGTAGTTCAAGCCGCGAATGTTAGTGACTGCGATTGACGAGTGAGTGTGTTTGAGTAATGATCCTGTTTGTTGTAATATTCATAGTGAGGCTAGGGGCAGCCGTCAACCTAATCCTGGAACTTGGAATGGCGAGCCACATAAGTTCCCGATGGCTAGGTAGTGGCACTAACCGGAACGACAGCAGAATCGTCTACCACAGTTGACTTTGTTCCGCCGCATTGTGAATCCCAGTTGACTACTCCAGAGTTGCGTGTGAGTTTTTCAGCATCGACCTAGTGGTTTATTATTAACTGTGTTCTTTCAAAGAATCGCTAACTTGTTGGGCTGTAGCATGACAATGCACTGCTAATGATTCTGCAAACTTAAACTTTCTTTAGGGTTGATTTACCTTCATGCAAAAACTGTTCATTCGAAGGAAGTGTTTAGTATTGGGCCACTCAGTTGTCATTGGAAATTTTTATGCCTTCGGCAAATGTACTGGGAAGGTTCTGCTAAGATTAGACTTATGAAAAATAAAAAAATGACAGTTTCTTGCAGCTTTAAATTAATAAGTATTACGATACAGTCACCGAACTCATTAGGTTTCATTGAAGTTGCGTTGTATCTGTGCTTGCAGGTGATTCTAACGCGCAGGTTGAAAAGCTGAGCACATCAAAAGCTCGCTAGGCAGTCGTTGCGCTCGGAACTACCAACGAACAGATAGCAGCAAGCGACGTCGTATATTCTGCGTAGACCACCGTCTGTTCCTGTCCAGTACCAACTTCTGACAGCTCTCGACGAACGGCGCTCCAATTCAACGGGTAATTTGACTCCAATTGGCCACAACATCAGATTACCGTTGCTGTGGCTCATTACAAATTGCAAGTCCTATTGGACGACGCTCGTTGAGTTTAATCACGTTAGTTTTGATGCACTTTGCGTTTCAATTCGCTGGTCACCAACAAACAACCAAACCGTTTGGTCCATCATCGCTTATCTGATCCAGTTATTCTTGATCGCTATGAGTCAAAACTTGGGCATGAAGTAAGAACGCTGCAATGTGCCAGTGTAGATGAGGAGCACTGCATTCTACGGAGAACGTTACTTATGCTTCTGATGTTGAACCCCATCCGAGGCATTGTATATCTCACGAGTCAGTACCCGTAATGGAGAAAAGGCGCCAAATTGCAACCAGCCGAGATCAAATCAGAGGTAGGTATCATCTACAAGAGCAGCTCGAAAAGGGCTATGAGAACTGATGGGTCAAAATGCATTATGAAATGGAAGTATCCGCTGCATCAGGGTATAATCTAAAACCGCCCCAACCGATACGCAACACAGGATATCGCTAGCAAAACAATATGGATAGAAGTGTTCAAGCTGTTTACAATGGCGTGACCGCTTGGCGGAATATTTTAATGAACAGTTAATCTGACCTGGCGTTCGTCAGGTTATCTCGTTTTTTGAAGCCGGAGCTCTATGAACAGTGTCCTGTGAACCTCCGACAGAAGTCCGTGATTTGCGTGGCACATAATAATCAACCGTAGCAGTTCCGTGATCTGGAAGTAGGTTTCGACTCAGTGGATCGCTGGGCTCTGTTCAATTCCATTATCCACAAAAGAACGCCCCGGAAGTATAATTTACTGAGATCACTATTCAGCTACTTATGGTCGAGTCAGGGTCTATAGCGAACAAAGTAGGTGGTTCAGTACCATGACGGGTGTTTGTTAAGGGGTGCCCTATTTCATCATTCCTATTCAATTTCGTCGTGGACGAAATGCTGGAGAGCGCACTGAGCGGCCTCCGAAATGTTGATATTAACTGGTTAACTGAAGCTAATCTGTGCCACTTAGACTACGCCAACGTCATCTGTCTTTTCGTATGCATAGAGGACGCGAACTACACTTGACAGACTAGCAAGCTCTGTTGCGTCTTTCGGTATACGCTTTGTGCAAGTTGATTCTACAAGACCGGGCATCGGCTAGTCACGTGTTGAAACTAGATTTGTAAGAGTTAGTCAAAGTCGATTTTTTTCTATTACACACACTTGTGTGCTAAACAGATGGAGGTAAACCCCATAGTCGCGCGGACTTACTGTTAACTCATGGTAAACGCCAACATAAGCCCCGGGACTTGCAGTGCCATACTTCATAAAGTTCTGCTAGGCTAGACTTCTCCTACCTAAGCAGTTGCCTGACCAGTAACGGTNGCTCAACTAAGGAGAATACCGCACGCAGTTCCAAGACTCGACCAGCGCAGGAAAATCTTAGATGTGTCACTGAAATTGAAGGGTCGTATGTATTGTGTATCCTTCGTTCAGTTTCTGCTTTGTGGTTGTGAGACCTTGAAGATGTCCAATGACTAGAAGTTTTCGGTTGTCAGTGTTTACGTGGTTTGGCTCTCGTGGGATGAAGCTAACGGGTTAGTAATCTGTAAGTAAACTGTCCTGTGTTCGGGAATGCATCGGTAAAAAAATTCGTTATCTCATCAAATTCAGATTAGTAGGCTTCGTTGGTTAGGGCACACATTGCGCATTCCCAGTTGTCTGACTCATCGTGCCTTATTTGGAGCTGTTAGTTCGGACTAAAGAAAATCACGTTGAGATGAATAGATGATGTGGAGACAAGGTATGGAGAAGTGCCTAAAGGATTAGGTGAAATAGGTGTCTTTCGCCTTCCAGAAAGGGTTCCAAAAGACTGCGTAAATGACCGATCGAGATGCTGAAGAACCGACGGAAGTGGTGTTGTTGTCACTCATTATCACACCAAAGCGCTTGATCTGGTGTGCATGCATGGACTGTGTACTGTGTTTTGACCATAGAGGTTCCCTTTCTTTACCCCTTCTTCAAAATTCGTCCAACCCCCATCCACCTTACGGAATCGTACTTCCTTTGTGCGTATGGTGAGTTTGACAGTGATCAATGAGGTCCGCTTCACTGTAGTTCTCTGCAAGATGATGATGCTTTATAATTCAATTCGACTACATCATTTTTCTTGCTTTCCTTAATTTGGCTACTCTATTTCGAGTTTTTCGAACTGTACCTGTTCTTACATGTCCCAAGAGTCATTCTATTTCGCAAACCTCTGCCAATTTACCCCTTTTACCAAATCTTTTAGATCGAACCATTCAGACCCCGCAGTCACTCCTCCATGGCGTGTTCTTCCACATCCAACTGCTGGTGAAAATGTTCGAATTATTGAGCGCTGGTCAGACACAAAAGTTGATTTTAAACCATCAGAATCCTACTACAATCGGCTTCACTGTCACGATCGTGACGGGGACATTCCAGAATACGCAGAAGATCAACCCAAATGTAAACGCGAAAAAGTGGAGAATTCTCCCATTCCTAATGAATCAAGCTGTAATGATGATTTGTTGTAATTTTTATTAATTATGAATACTTATTTCAAACTCTTCACTTTTCGAGTAACTTATCGATCGCCCAGCAATTATTTGTATCCTCTGAAGTCAATCACTCTTTCCACCAGCCCATGCAAAAACCGTGGACGTCTTATCAGCCTCAGTTTCTGGGATGGGCTGTGTATGCCGTACTTTTGGGGCTTCGCTTCATGTTGGTCTTGGCAACCCAATCGGGCTATCTCCACCCGGATGAGTTTTTCCAGAGTGTGGAGATTGGAGCTGGAGATGTGTACGGTCTTGACGTGATTCGTTCTTGGGAATTCGTGTTATCGGACAAAGGACCTTTACGTTCGATTGCTGGATTAGGCCCGCTCGTTCATTTTCCGCTGTGGATTTCCAAGCAGTTCTTCCCGTCAACACAGGTGAACGGTAAGTTATGCTATCCAATTCGTTATCTCTTTCCCATTTGTGGTTTGGATTATCATTGTTTTAATTTAGTTTCCTTGGTGATTTCACCTGGGTTAATGCTTGCAATTACATAAATAAACAAATTTACTGTCACATGTCCCACTTTAAATCTCACAGATTTTCGTACAGGTGTTTCCCGTTTTCGAGCTTTTGCGAATAGGTTAGATTAAAGACAACATCAGCCTGTGATTCCCGAGACAAAATCTTCAACTTACAAAACAGTCTGGAGTCTTGGCCGATATGGAAAAACATGTTTGACATCGTTATTTCATTTTTTTCTTCACGCTCTTGAATGAGCGGAAAGAATCAGAATTGTTCATGTAACTAGATCAATAAACCAGAATTTCATTCTATTCAAATGATGTTGTTCAACCGCTCTTGTTTTGCGTTTCCAGGTTATACTTAATGGAACCCTTTGTTTATCAAGCTGGAGTAATATTTTTTTCTCCTAAACGCGTATTCACTATCGCAATTGATCGTGTTCTATATGATCGAATTATTTGTTGGTTGTATACGTATGTGCAATTGGTTGTTGTTAGGCTAAAATGTTGACAGCTGATTGTTGTATCTGTACGCTACAATAATCTCCTAGATAAAACATTTGATGGGTTTCCATTGGTTCGAAATTTTTAAATTCTGGTTCTTTAAGCTAGACTTATCGTCTTCTCGATGGTTTATCAAATGGTTCATCATTCCAGTTATAATTTCACATACCTCGTTTCTGAGTCGAGGAGGAGGAGG